GGATGCTGGCGCGCTCGATCCAGAATGCAGAGCAAAATGAGATTCGGAGGTCGGTGAGGGAAGAGTCGTTTGCACGGCGGAGCGAGCAAATGGCGGAGGACCAGAGGGAGCGTGATGAAAGGAACCTGGACCGTCAACACGAGAGGGATTTGCGTGCCGACGAGCGACAGGCCGACTTCCAGAAGTGGCCCTTAGAGAGGCTTCCTAGCATGAGTTGTGCTTTCATACGCGTGGATGGGAACCCGACGCGTAGCTCGGCATGTACATGAGGTACGTAGACGCGGTGGCGGAAAGAGTGTATTTGTGTCTCTTCCTGTGTTTCGAACTACGGCAGGTACCTGGCTGCATATCATCCTGCTCATGGTCTCGTTAGCGAAGGCAAGCTTCTTGCCAAGTGATATACCGGCGCCGATTTCTGCCCCGATCCCAATCTACCCGTGCACTGGTAGGAGCTGCTCGGCTGTAGCGACGAGCAATGGTCAACTTTGGACGGAACAAGTCAAATGCTCGAGCTGATGCGTGACTGGGAGGCCAAGAAACGAGCTTCCAGCCTGGGCCTGGGAAGAAACTCCGGATCAATATCGCCAATATCACTGACTTGCTCGGCATGGGATCGGCTGGACTCAAGGATGCACGAGAGAGGTTCAACGCCTCGTCAACGGTACGCCTCAAAAGTGTCGTAAACCTGACACCGCTAGAGCTACAGACCGAGGCAATACGTCGGTGGTGCAAGGGAACCGTAATCGGTAGCGGCTGTACAATCTTTTGTCAAGGTCCGGGTGCTTGCCGCACACACGGTAGGAGCCTTAATAACGTCCACATGCCCACGTGCCACGATAACTTCCTGCAGTCAACGAGGAAGGGCTTAAAATGCATGCTAGCTCAGTATTTTATACTGAAGTATGAACCAAGGTGCACATCGACCGGTGCTTTTCAGTGTGCTATGACTTTCCGAAATATTTTGTGCTATGTCGTCGGGAAATTTCCTCGAACTTGGCCAACCTTATCACGCTGTTTAGAGCACCTCATCCACCCAGAGAATATCGCGGTTGTTTTGTGTTCAAATGGCATGAACACCTATCTCGGCGGGCTCCCCAGGTTAAAGCTGAGGGAACGGGGTTCCTGATCTCGCTCACCATGGAACTCTTGAACAGCTTCTTTCAAGAGGTCATGGTCGAGATCGTGGATATTTTGTGCTATGTCGTCGGGAAACTTCCTCGAACTTGGCCAACCTTATCACGCTGTTTGGAGCACCTCATCCACCCAGAGAATATCGCGGTNATATTTTGTGCTATGTCGTCGGGAAACTTCCTCGAACTTGGCCAACCTTATCACGCTGTTTGGAGCACCTCATCCACCCAGAGAATATCGCGGTTGTTTTGTGTTCAAATGGCATGAACTCTTATCTCGGCGGGCTCCCCAGATTAAAGCTGCGGGAACGGAGTTCCTGATCTCACTCACCATGGAACTCTTGAACAGCTTCTTTCAAGAGGCCATGGTCGAGATCGTGGAGGAAGCGAAGAAAGTGCTGGCGAGCCAGCCACAGATCTCCGTCGTGTACATGGTCGGCGGTTTCTCCGCGAGCCCCCTGTTGCAAGGCCATGTTACGGATGCGTTGCAGACGCCAAGTTGCCGCGTCCAGGTCGTCGAGAAGCCGGGCGTAGCCCTTGTGAGTGTGCGTTGTAGGCTTGTGAAGTCCGTACCAATGTCTTGCTTCAATCGGTAACAGCTTTTTCCTGTGTCAGCTTATTGCTTTCCCCGAACACCTGCATCGCCTTGTCATACCACCAGGCGGTGGGCGCAGCTCTGTTTGGGCGCAGCGAATCCGCGATTGTGGCTCGCAAGGCCCGCTTGACATACGGAACCAGGTCCGTCACCCGGTACGACGAAGAAGATCCGAACCATACCCGCCGTAAGGGTCAAGCGCGCTACATCGGTGGCACTTTGTACCTGGAGAAGTTCAGCTGCTACGTGGAAAAAGGGGTGGACCTGCCAGTGGGGACGGGTAGGCAACACACGTTCCATCCCGTGACCGAACGCCAAAACGAAATAGAGTTTGACGTTTGTATTTCGCTGCAGACTGCAGCGGACATTGAGTACGTCAAGGATGAAGGGGTGAATCATAAACTATGCACCTTGAAGACTCTTACAGTGCCCGTTGATATGTCCGTCCGCTTGTCTGAAAGGGGGGTTGTCATGAAGCTATATTTCGGTGGTACCGATCTCGGCATCAAGTGCACCAGGTGCACGGACGGGCACGAGGTGGCCGCGAACACGGTGTTTGTTGAAGACATCGAAGATACCCGCTACGGGATTGATATGTAAGGCTCATTGGATACGATTTGCTGCTTCGGGGAGTGTCGTGCAAAAAAAATAAAAGCGGTGCTTGGTATTTGTCACGAGCACGTCGACTTAGCAGAGTTTGTAGCGGAAGGGACATTCATAATAATAATAACTTGCTGCTGCCAACGAACGTGCCGTCAACTTTGTTGTCGCATTGACTGAATGTCACTCGAACGTGTTGCGGGGTTGCTGCGAATGTGACGGATTTCTCTTTAAGACGTTTAAAAGCATATTGGTGAAATTAAGAGCGAAGCATCTGATTGAAAGCGAGATTGCGCGATGCGCTGCAGCTGGACTACTGCTGAGAGGTGGAGCTTGCTGTGTAGCTTGAATTGAAGGGCCAGCCCGTAGCTACAGGCAGATACCCTGGTCATCCTGTGGGAGTCTCTCGATGTGGAGTTACAGCGGCGAGCAGAAGCTGCAGCAGAGCCCACCGCCCGAGGCCAAACCGCCCTGCAACAGTTTGAGGCAGGAATAGCCAATCTGGGGAACTCTATGGTCCGTTCGGGCATATATTCACAATATTTTCCCCTGCACAAAGGTGCACTTTTCTCGGGGTGGGGGTACTTATTCCGAAATCTGAAAATACCGCGTAAATCGACGTTTCAAGGCGCATCTTCGTACGGAGATTTTTTTTTTTTTTCGTCCTTCGCTCGATATGTTCAGATATTCAAGAAATCTTGCTTACTTTCTGGAGGGCGGTGTTTTTTGCAGACACAAAATCTGAGACCGGATTTGGACAGCTCTCGTGATTTGCCACCGATGATTTTTTTCCGATTTCCAATTTGACAAAAAATAACGGAGTTATGGGCAAAAAACCGGATATTGGAGGGTATTTTGCTTAGTTTCTTGGGGACAATCCAACCGTACGATTCAAAAATAAAGTGCTGCAATCGATTCCTCTCGTGATTTCCCACCGATGATTTTTTTCCGATTTAAAAAAAAAACTCGGGTTTCGGAGATATTTCGGGTGGTTTCACACGCCCTCGGGGAATTTTTTCCCGCCACACACACACCAGAGGACACACACACACACACCCTTTACGCACGCAACGAAAGACGCACACGCGCTCCGGGCACATGGGTCGCCCAAAGGGTAAGCGCAAGCTGCCAAGGAACGCCGACGGCACGATTCGGAAGGCCCCTTCGCCCCCTGCGGACCCTGCTGTAGGCAACGACTCTCCTCCCTCTTCCGACCATGAAGGCGCCAATATTTCTCCCATGCACACCAACGACCACGACGACGACTGGCCCCACCGCCGTTCTCATCGGCCTGCCGAAAGGAGGAAAGCAGCTGCTCATGGAGATGGGGCTGTGGGAAGGCGAGCCAACCCCACGCGTTCACGAGTGCCGCGCGTGCAGGGCGGAAAAGGCGGCAACAAGGCAAGCCATTACCGCCTTCAACCGCGGTGGAGAGGGGCGGCAGCACGTGGTGGACAGCACGGGGCAGGGAAAGGAGGACGGCGGAGAGGACGGGGACTCGAGTGGGAGCGGGGCAGCTGGTGAAGCAGGCAAGAGGCGTCGCTGCTGCGTCGTGCGCGTTCTGTCTGAGCTCAAGGCGTTCAGGGAGGAGCTCAACATGGTTGAGAATCTCTTCAAGGCACACGGGCACCTGTGCATCTTCTTGCCGAAGTACCACCCAGAGCTCAACGCAATCGAGCGATACTGGGGGTATATCAAGCACCTCCTCCGCCTCCACTGCGAGTATTCCCTTCGCCACATGCTCCAGGTCTTGCCCGGCGCGTTGAGCGGCGTACCCGCACGGTTTATCCGCGCATGGAGCAGGGTGACGTGGCTGTACATCGAAGCCTACGACGAGGGCCTGGAGGACTACCTCGAGTGTTGCGATCTCAAGGAGTGGGGGAAGCACCGAGAAGCCACCGCCAGGGGAGATGCCGTGATTCAGGCGAGGGGGGCGGGGAAGACGCCG